TGGCTGTGGATAGCTTTCAGGGGGGGGTTGGGGGAGTGCTATAGAAGAGAGAGGCACCTTCTCGCCATTTGGCCGAGGGCCCTTCCAGGACCTTTCTTGAAATTTTTGCGCTTGCGTATGATGTGGACCACATTCGCTATAAGCATGCCCGTGGGCCAGTCCAACCTTTGGACCTGACTTCCTTGACTCACCAGGAAATTTTGCTCAGATGGATTTCGTCAGGAGTTGTTGGCGCGGTGGCCCTGGCCCCGCCGTGTGGAACAGCTTCCCTTGCAAGGAACATTCCGGGGCGGACCGCCGCCGCTTAGGTCTGACACCTACTCGGACGGCATCCTAGGACTCGTAGGAGTAAATGAGTCCCGGGTTTCGAGTGCTAACTCCCTGTATGCGTTCTCTGCTAAAGTTATTCAGGCAGCCGAGAAGGCTGGCTTGCTATGGGTGCTGGAGAATCCAACCCAGCTTGTTTTGGAGCGCGTCTTTTTGGGCCTCAATGAGCCACTTGGACCATGTTGTCGTTGATCAAGCCTCTTTTGGAGGATCTCATCCCAAGTGGACGAGACTGATGGGCAATTTCAAACAGCTTCAGATACTAGCCAGGACTTGCTCTGGCTGTGCGGCGCATGGGGTGCAAGCCAGACGGCTCGTGGTCCACTGCGGACGAGGCTGCGTACCCAGTCGAACTGTGCACTGAGTGGGCCGCAGCTTTGCGGTCAGCCATGGAAGACCGAGGGATACGTTCCATGTCGCACTCTGTGCTGAATCGTTCCCTTCGGGAGAACGCACAGATTCAGAAAGACCAAGCTCCCGTTCAAGCTCGTCGACGAGTGGAAGCTGATAGTGTACTTGGTTGGCCCCCGTGCCACGCTCGAGACGTTGTCTGTGACAAAGCGCCTGCCCCAGAAGTGGGACGTCTCCGCTGATGTGAGAACGTTGCCTGCTGTCAGATCCCTGCCTGCAGGCTCTCAGGTATTGTCTCGGGCTCAGAAAGGGGGTGGGTTGAGCCCTCAACTTCAGCAGCTGGTGGCCGACCACCCGGAACACGAAGTCGTCAGGGTAGGCGTGCCATGGACTTATCTGGAGTTCATTCGAGAGGCGTTCAAGGTTGGCCATCCTTGTCACAAGCTTTCGGAAACTCGACCTTTGCTCCAGGCAGTCTTGAAAGAGCTTGTGTCTAAAATTCATGGGGTCAAAAGCCACAGGCAGGCGTGGTTTAAAAAATGGGAAGAGCGGGCTGCCGTCTTAGAACAAGACGAGTCTGCTTTGAAAGCGGGCATGAGTGATGTCAGAAGGGCAATCTTGGCTCCAAAAAGGCTCCTATTGTTTAAAGAAATTTTGGTTGATCTGGAGTACGACGACATGGAGGTTGTCGATGAGATCATCAGTGGAGGGTCTCTGGTCGGCCCAGTGCCTGTTACTGATGTGCTAGATGCTAAGCGCAAGCCCGCCAGGATCTCAGTTGATGTGCTGGACGAACTCAGAGACCAATGCAATCACGCTGTGTTGTCCAGAGCCGTCTCCTGCGGAGATACAGAGCTGGATAAAGAGCTTTGGGCTAAGACCCTTGAGGAAGTCGACAAGGGACACCTGTTGGGCCCTTACGGCGTTGATCAGCTTCCAGCCGGAGCCTTTGTTAACAATAGGTTTCCGATCAAGCAAGCTGACAAAGTCCGCCCAATCGACAATTACTCCAGTAGCCTTATCAACGACACGGTTACCGTGTCAGAAAAACCAGTGGTGCATTCAGTTGATGAGATTGGAGCAGTTGCCACAAACTTCGCTGCCCTTGCGAGAAATGTGGAAAAGAAGTCAAAGATTTTCCATCAAGTCGCGGTGCCCTTTGGATCGACGAAGGCTGTTTATTTCTTCTTAAGAGTTGCCCGTGCTCTCTGGACGATTATTGTCAAAGGCCTGAAGGTGGCATCTACCAATTTCTTTGATGACTTCGTCTTGTTAGCCCTGGAGATCGACATAAAGTCAGCTTGGACGTCCTTCGAAAGACTCATGAAGTTGCTGGGCTGGAAGTTGTCTGAGGACAAAACAACTGACTGGTCGGCGGAGTTCGAAGCCCTTGGGGTAGTGTTCGACCTGACGGACGCCATGTCAGGGGTGGTCAGGATAGGGAACACAGACAGGCGAAAAGAAGAGATTATTGCAAAGCTGAACGAAGTTTGCTCCAGAGGAACTTTGACACAGCAGGAAGCCATGCAGCTTAGAGGCAGGATGCAGTTTGCTGAAACACAATGCTTTGGCAGGCTGGGCAGGACTTTGCTCAAGCTCGTTACCAGCCACGCTTACTCTGGCTCCATGTTCGTTTCGAAGAGATTGAGGGGTGCCTTGTTGGACTTCGCAGCTTTGCTAAGGGACACTAGGCCAAGATTGATCGGAGCAATCTCGTGTCGATCCTTCATGTTGCTGACTGATGCCTTCTACGACCCAGGAGAAACACCGGCCGCAGGTTTGGGAGGAACAATCCTCACGGGACATGGCACTGCCTTGATTTACTTCTCTGTCAAAGTGACAGAACAGGATGGTGCTAAACTCGCTCTGAATGACGAGGCGACCGTCATTTATGAGCTTGAACTCTTGGCTGTACTCGTTGGTTTCCTGGTCTTTAAAGAATGGAGCAAGGGAGTGGAACCCCAACACGAAGGAATAATGGCCGGCGTCGGGATTGTGTCTTACATGGATAACGATGCCGCACGGTTCGCCTTGATCTCGGGAGTCTCCAAAAAGGACATTGCAGGTTTGATCGTGGAAGAGGTAGCTTGTGTCGAGAGTGAGCTCGGCATCGCACCTTGGTTCAGCAGGGTAGGCACCGAATCTAACTTGGCGGATGAACCTTGGGGGTTTGTCACGAAGCTCGTTGAGGAGCTTGGGTTCAAGGATTGGTCAGAGAGGGCCGCGCAAGTGTCAGGCCAGTTTTTCTCAAAGATCGCGGCCTGGACGGCAAATGATGGAAAGTGGGGATGAGCATTCGCCGTCCCGTCGCGGATAGTTTGTGCCTTCTTGTCTGGGCACGTTGACAATGTCAATGAAAAAGGCATGAGCTGAACATGGTTCAGACAGAACGATTCGGAGAAAGATGATTCGCCCCACTGTGGGAAAAAGCCCGAGGGAATGGGAACGAAGACGATTTGCATTGCTTGACACTTTTGACGTTTTGTGTTAACCTTATCGAACGTCTCAAGCACGGTCCTTTGAGCAATAAGCGACGTTCTTTGAGTGCTCGGAGAAGATAGTGCTTTATTGTGAAAAGGAAAAACTGGAAGACAGTTTTAGTGCTTGATTTGAGTTGAGTGAGAAATTGAGTTTGTGTGTTTTGTGCTTGCCTGTACAGGTTCAGAATTACCTGTACGCACCGCACCAGTGGCTCGCAGAAAGCTGCTGGGATAAAAATCCGAACTTGGGGCGCAGTCCCCAAACAGGTTCCGAACTGGCTTCTTGTTTTTTCAGCGGTTTTCAGTTCTCGGTGTTTTGCCTGACACGGGTGGGCTTGTGGCTGTGGCACCTCGGCATGAGCACGAAGAACGGTGGTTCGCGCGGTGCCCGTGCGAGGCCATTGCTTGAGATGTGAGCCGTGAAATTGCGTGCTGTGGGATAACCCGTTTTTCCTTCCAAAGCTGTGTGAAGAACCGTGATGATGACATGATGAACGCTGTTTTGGCCCAGTAGCGGGTGGTCTAAGCTGCTTCCCACCACCTGGTTCGGCGCTCAGTTGAGAGTCAAGGGAGTGCAGTGCATAGTTGATGTAAGCCCATTGTCCGCGGCTCGTGCCAAAAGAATGCATTTTTTGGTAACCATGGCTGCTGCGATGTGGCTTTGGGTTCAATGCATGTGTGGTCAGGTGCCCAACATGACCGTGATTGCAAAAAATCACCCATGCACAGTTAAGGGCGTTGTCATTCTAGCACATTCCATCAAGGCTTGCGGAGACAATCCGTTCGCCTTACACTGCAAGCTTTGCTCGCAAGAGCACATGCGTTCGCATAGCCATGAGAACCAATGATTTGGTCTGATGTCCGAGCCATGGTTGCAGCTGCAGTTGAATGTGGAACTGGTTTGTCGGAGGTGGCAGCAACTTTGATGTTTTGTAATCAACCCAGAGATTGTGCAGGGCATCAGGACGTTGAAAGCCACCAGATGTTGAAGTGTATGGCAGAAAACATGCTGCGCGAGAACATTTTTTCATGGGAGTGTTTCGTTTGGATGCATTGTTTCTGGCACGCGGAAAAAGTACCATCAACAAACTCATGTGAAGACATTTGAATTTGAAGACTTGCTTTAGCATTGGAGGAAAGGGCTGAACAGGTCGCTGTTGCTTCTTGGCAATACAAATGCAAGCTTCAAGGTTTGGGGTGGGGTTCAGCGTTCGATGGTTGTAGATTTATACAGTAAAGCGTTCTGTTGCAGTTTGCAAGTGTAAGGCAAAAGTAGCGCCGCAAGCCGTGGATTGGATCTGTTGTCATGGCCGATCAAAACCTTGCGACCATCATGCTGTGCAACAAGTGCATGTGAGCCTGTAGCATGGCAACCATATCTGAGGAAATCCATCATCTTCGGCTTTTTGGATACTTTCCCTCGTTTGGTTGTTGCAGGGTGCGGGGCTCAAGTGCGCACTCGGTGGCTGAGATTGATGACAGTTTGTGATAGCCGTTTAACTGTTTAACCAACATCTCGTTGGATTGAGAGAATTCACATCCAGCTCAGACTTCAGACTGCTGAGGTTTTAGAGGTATGAGTGAGTGATTTTCATATCTCCCTGCTCTTCAAAGCCATTTTCGTTGTAAATCTCCCGAGCTCTGTCAAAGAAAAATGCGCAACTCCGAAATATTTATGTTAAACCCTGCCACCCAGTGATCAACCGGAATTCTTGGGAAGAACTTTTGGAACAATGAAAGAAGGATGCTTTATGCATTTTTCGGGGTTTAGCGCGGAAGACCTTCGTGTTGTACAGCTCTTCCTGAAACCGGCCGTGTTGAAGTGTTTCAGAGGTTGAGTGTGCGGAAGCCGCGCAACCCATGCCTTGAAGATCGTTTCTTTTCAAGATCAACCTATGCAGAACTTAGCCCGCGAAACATGAGACTTTGCTCCTACAATTGCTGCCCAACTGCTTCTGAAGGTCTCTGTATGGTGAAGTGCTTCTCGGTACGCTCCGCCCGGGCACGAGCTTGCTCCCAGTGCAGCAGCTTCGTACCTTGGCTTGAGATTTCCAGCAAGGTTTCGACGTTTGGCTCCATTCCAGCAATTTCTATTGTCCAGACATCAAATTGCTGCGAAGTTGTTGTAGAGGAGGTCCATTTGCACAAGCGGTCAAGGAGGCATTCATTTGCGGCCTACATTGTTGAGCAGCTCAGCCGTGGTATGCTGGACATGCAGGATTGCCACATGCTCCAGGATGTGCTGTACACTCTGTCGCCGTCGCCAAGGCCTGCTTTTGAGTCCTTGGATGTCATGCAATAGACCGGCCGGTGCTCCTGTGAATTTGGAGCAACAGGGCTAACCTGAGACAAAATGCGCAAAACTGCAGGTCGGCGATGTTCCTAAACGCACCATTGCCACAGGCAGTGCTTGGCCTGCACACATGGCATGATTTCTCATCCTTCTGGCTTTGCAGAAGATGAGGTCATAGGACTAACAGGCTCGTCTCTCATGCACCTTTTCGCAACTGACGTGGTTCATGAACTATTTTTTTCCAAGCTGTAAGACTTTTGTAGTGAAGAGTCTAATATCATGTCGAAGCAAAGTCCTGAGGTGCAGATGGCGTTGTACGCTTCTTTGCCTCTGATGGCTCCCCGCTTGGCAGTTTCCAGGCACACCGTAAGGTGGGATGTTGAGGCGTGACTGCCTGGAGGCGCATGTCAATGCTTGTATGGGAAACCCAAGCCCGTTCTGCATGCTGCGGAAGGATTGTATGCGAGAACACTTCAGTGAATGATGTGCATACAAAGAAACTTGACTTATGCTACAGTTTAGAGTGCCAGTTGTGGTAAACATTGGGGGGTACCTTGGTACCCCAGCAAACCTACATGAGCTTGATGAGAGAGTCTGCAAAGCATCCTTGGGAGGCCTATTTGCAGCAGCCTGTTGCTTGGTGGCATCGACTGCATTTGCTGCATGAAGTAATGTACCCACCCAAGGGAGAATCAAATGGACAACAGCAGTATATAGATTAAATGGCCACTTGGATTATATAGGGAGTCATTATAGTGGATAAGAAGAGGATTTTGGCAACCCCAACGTTGAAAGTTAGGACCCTATGATAGTCATAATCATGGGGTCCTGAGTTTGGGTGTTTGTGTTACCAAAGTCCTCATTAATATTTGGGCTCCTGGTAGGAAGCAAGGAATAGATATAGCATAATCGAGGCTGTTGTCCAACCTGGCCACACGGTTGAGGCTTAGGACCTGAGGTGCTGTCCCTGCAGCTCGGTCGCAGCACCCAGACATCCTACCTGGCGACGGCCACTGGCGGAACGGTTGCTGCAGAGGCAAGCGAAGAATCAGGGGGCCCTTCGTTTCTCCAAAATTCCGTATAAAGCAGGCTTCTTTCTGGTTCTCTTTGCCAGAATTCCAGAAAGGGTCCCACATCTTGTGCTTGGGGTTTACGGTCTTGATCTTGCAGATTTGCCAGCAAATTGAATTTGTTTTTCCAGCATGCTAGCAGGTGAAAGGCCTCGATGTGCATGCAAAGCCACGCTTATCTCATCCAACAATTTGGACCCTGGACTAACAAGTTTCATTCCTGGATGTCCAGTCCTGACGAACATGCTTGCCTGAGCTCACATCGCCTCAATGATATCTCCCCGCAGCCCCGAACCCATCACATCAGGATTTTTTTTTCTCTCTCTCTCTCTCTCTCTCTCTCTATCTTTGTGTCTCTCTCTTTGATTCCATACAGTTCGTCTATATTTGACTTTAATATCTGCACATCCTTGTCATACGTTTTCCAGAGTTCTCCGCATCAATTATTCCCGAGACCGAAACCCAGCCGCACCACGGGGGGGGGGGGCCTGCCAAAGTGTGACCGTGTACTGAGGAAGGTGAGCTGATGGATGCAGCGCACCTCTGGGAGTTTGCAAACCTCGGCACCTGAGATGCTCTGAAACGGGTTTCCGGATTTGCAGCTTAGCAAATTGAAGTTGTCCAGCTTGAGGATTCGGTGTTGGAGTTTGGGGCGTGTCTTGACTTTGAGGTAAAGGAACTTTGAGCCTGTTCAACCTAGGGCTGCAGCAACTCTTCCAGCTGGGTATCCGGCTCATGTTGCATTTGAATTCTTGATCTGCCGTCAAAGCCCAAGTGAAGCATGGTCCCAACAAGTTCCCCTCTCTATATAATCCGCAAGCAATGCCCGATGTAACCCACATATCCCCCATATCACCCCCATATCACCCCCATATCACCCCTACATACCCCTACCTCTTGCATCTCTTGCCTTGAGTTGAAGCTAAGGCCAGGCTCCCCGTCTTCTCAGCTGCTTCCAGCATGGCCTGCTGCCTCAGCGAGAAGCACCCGCCTAACAACAGCAAAACATTTCGCGAGGGTTGCGGGGGACATTCAGGTGTGGGAGGCTGATGTGACGCTGTCTCTTGAACGAGAGATCCATCTTTAGAATGTTTCAGGTGCACGAGGCAGGGTCGCAAGCCTTCTGGGTTGGGGCTGCGTGCAAAGCTTACGGTAACTGCGGCGCATAACTGCTTGTTTTTTCAGACGAGGAGTATGAGGGGTAAGGAGTCATAACTGTTTTTTTTTGACCAGTCCTAAATTCCTAAATAGGATCTCAGGCTGGACCAACTGTGTCCTAGCTGCTCCGACAGCACTCCCCAATGAGAGACTTGCGAAGCAAGGCGGCTTCTCGATCCTCTCGGAACATTTGTTGGCCAGAAGGTGCCAACCCCGAATGCCCCAATTTTCTCTTTCTGAGCCCAGGTCTCGGAGTGAACGGCATTGCCATGTCTGCGCCACGGAAGCAAGTCGAAAGGGGGGAAAGGGCCGGGCCTTGGCATGGGTCTTTACCGGAAGCATTTGAATCATGGACTTGCGAGAGTAGAGAAAGTTTGAAGGGATTTGGAAGTTCCATGAACAGGGGACCTCACAGTAGACCGGAATATACTAGAATCCTCATTATGGAGAACCAAAAAATCGCAACGCCAATTTTAGGAAATCCCCCAGTGTCAGCTCAGGTGGAGCACAGCCGCGTGGCCACTGGCTCTGACGATCGAAGTGCGGGTTTGCACGATTTTGCTGGCCGCCGCCTGGCAACTTGCAGCATGCCTGGAATTGCCTAGGCTCTAGGGTTCAGGGTAAAGGGGTGCTGGCAGTTGCCTGCATGCATGGTGAACCACGCGTGTGTAGGTTTCAGATCAGATCTAGGAAGGAGTAGATGCAGACTGGAATGTGACGAGATCCAAAAGCCACTTGACGCACCGTTGCTTGCATGAGATGCCGCAGCACCCACTGTGATTCAGAATCAGAAGGGTTCAACTTTAAGACTGACTTCAGGCCGAGGCCACCTGTCCTTCGTGTGGGAGGTGGGTTCCGTGAAAATCTACAGAGCCAGCCGTTCCCTGATTCTGCCTTTGCGTGAGGTGGCGTTGTCGCTCGATGCGAAACTGCTTGCCACTGCCTGTGAAGATGGGTTCCCAGGTGGCACATGGACTGGGACATTTCCCAGAATGTCTATACAGTCCCCCCAAAGACACAAGAATTATTTTTTCAGGGCCCCTGATCTATCCCAGTTTTTACGAGGTCAAGAATGAGGCTGATGATGGTTTGGCCAAGGTCTAGAGCCCATAGCTCCAGTTAGTGAGTCTTTTTGAGGTCACAAGTGAGTGTGAGAGCCAAATCAGCCCAAACCTGGAAACCTGTTTTGCCGACATGCGACATCGTGCAACATCTGGAAGTGCTTTCCCTTTGCGATCCTGAGACAAGCTCGTCTTTTTGATGCTGCCGGCCAGCTTCTGCGCATATTCGCTGGGCGCGGGACCTGCGTCGAGGCGGGGAAGAGTGCAAGTCTGATCAAAAGCGTGGGCTTGCATTTTGCAGAGCTTGATTGGATTTTTTCTCATTGAAGGCTGCTTAGGTAATGCTGTTTAGTTTTAGCACAGCTGCCACAGGGCCAAGGCCCAAAATTCCTGACAGACCCATACGAGCAATCCTACGTTGATGGAGACATGCTGCTGGCGTCTCCAGTGAAGCATGCCAACGCTTAGAACAACTACTTCGCGATGGCTAGAAGGCTGAAGGAGAGTGGCCAACAAGCTTGTGCAGGTTTGGAGCAATGGGAAGATCAATCTCATCTGTTGCTGAAGTCTGAATATGCATTTTTCTGTATCAAGTGGAGTATGCCAGCTCCTTCTGCAGCACGCAGGTGATAATTGACATCGGCATGTCCGGCCCTTGGAGGAGGGAGCCTGATTTTTTCAGATTTTCATTCAGCTAGCAAACTGGGTGGGATGCTTTCGAACTGTCAGATCTGATGAAGTCGGCTTTAGATTTTGGGAGGTGTGGAGCCCCGGAAGGGTTAACCCATGGAGGCTGTGCAAAGCTGTGCAAGCCGAGGTGGACACTTGTAGCAACTGCTGGCAACTACCTGCATTTGTGGGGCCTCTTGTCAGTCTACAGGGAGAGGCAGCATCAGTGGGGCGTTCATGGGGGCAGAGTTGTGTTTGCGTCGCATGTCTGCAAAAGATGCTCGCCAGTTGTCCAGATTTCCGACCGTTTGCAAGCATCTAGCATGTAGCCATTTTCTGTGTAGCTTGCAGGAGGGGCGGGTGCCTGCCTACATGTAGTTGTGACTTGAAGACCTTCCGCCTCTAGTTGATTAGAATGATGCCAGCACGTGGAACCCCAGAATCATTTTGTTGCAATGCCCAGAGCTCCTCAAAGCCTCTAGCGCCCACCAGTTACAGCTTCAAACGGAAAAAGATTAAACTCAGCTGCTGCGGTGAACCGCAAATACCAGATTCAAACCAAGGCTTCGGCGAGGCACCAGGTGCAAAGAGCAGCGCGCTTTCCGCGGAGCATCAGTCAGCCGTGACTCAGATGCATGGTGTCGACTCCAACACGCTGTCGTCGTGCATGTCTGAGATCAGGGCATATGCATTGGAAAGATGAGCCTGCTGACGCAAGCGTAGAATCAGCACAGCGCTGCTGGATTCGCCCGAATGCGGTGGTTTGCTTGACCAAGTGCGTTTTGCTCACAAAATGCACGTGCATCAGACAGGTTCATTGCGCAGCCGCTGTGCTCAGCTTCTTGCCGAGAATGGTTTTGTGCTTGAGGGCTTGAGGGTTTGGCCTCCACAGACTGACTTCACTGAGCTGGCAGGCTGCGGCCGCCTTCTCTCAGGCACGGATCAAGGCAACGCACCCCCCTTCACCTTGCAGAGATGGTACTGTCCAACAATCCAGTTTCCATTTATCTATATGGGAAGCAGCTGTATAATCCTAATTTCCATTTCTATGTTTATTTTCTTTTCCATTTGATTCTTCACATCCCTATATAGCCCCAAAATCTTCCCAATTTATAGTATCTCCAGCTTTCTTTTCCATTGTTCCTATGTATCCATCCCCACATGACCTCCAGGTGGGTTTGGCCAAAGGCTTTTGAAGTTTCAGAGGTGAGATCGTGGAGTGGCACGCCTCGACCTTGACTGAGAAGAGCCGCCACTTGGCTACAAAGCCACTAGGAAAACCCCGCGGTGTGGAAGGTGCTTGCAAGTCCCAAAGTCTCCGAGCCTAGCCTCACGTTTTATCTTCTCAATATCCTTTTGCGAGCATTTGATGGTATTCATAGCGCGCCAGACTGAACACAACGTTTACAAGCTGGCAGAGTTCGAGCTTTGCGGGTCTTCTTTGCAGTTCCTACAACCTAGATGAAGGAGTGCTCTAAGAGTTGGTTACTAGTCGGAGTTCATCGTTGCTGGGAAAAGATAAAACATGGATTCCGTCACTGCTCCCTGAACCATGCATCAAACAAACTCATCCAAGCTGCATGCTCGTTTGTCGTAGAGATGATTTGCTCTGAAGCCAGGCAGCTTCGCTGTGAAGACGGATTACCTAGGGCTTCCATTCGATTTTCCATTTCCTTTCCATCTGCTTCCCTATTACTGGGATACTATTCCTCTGTATCCGATGTAAATGCAACATGTACCTTATCATGATATAGTAGCTTATGTTATTTTTCCCTCTGTTTGCTGAGGAATCGCGGCTTTCTCTTCGGCAACTGTCACCTTGGCAGTTGGCTGCAACCTGGCGGGTGTTATGGGGCCTCCACAAGGCCTGTAGTTGACCTGGATTTGCAGATTTGCAGAAGCGTTTACTATTGTAAGGTGAATAGCTCTTCATCTTCTTGATTTGCGTGCAGCAGTGGTTGAGCTCATGTTATTTTCTCATTTTCAAGGCCCGAACCCCGGATTTGAGCCCGAAGCATACTAGCAACAGCATGGTGCTGTGGTCTGAGGATTGAGCAGCGCTGATTTCTGGCGAAGACGGCAGTCGACAAAAGACCGCCTGCACACACAGGGGCGTTCTTGCGAGTAATTTCCAATCATTGTGAATTATAATCCATAGATTCTCCCTTTACATCCTTATCTAACCCTGATACAACCCCATATCCATCTCAGGACATGTTGGGCTAAAGGCGAAGGCTGCCCATGGTTTGCAGTTGATGGATGTAGCTCTCGCTCTTTGATCAGGTGGGGTTCTGTCACTGGTAAATTTTTGGAATGTTCCTTTGTTTTATGGTCCATGTTCCCTCTAAAATCGGACCCGTAAGAAATTCATTCTCCTGGGGCCCCTCGAATTTTTCCCATGCGATTGGTCCAGAAGGACTTGTAAGGGTCAAGGTTTCGAGGCTCGTTTAGCCTACGATGCAGTTTTTCAGCAAGCACACTGATATTGCAAGTGCTCAGACTTCAAGCGACGCTCCTCTGAGACCTGCCGCAACCATGGCGGACGACGCCGACCTCACCGCCGCTGATGCGGAGATTGAGGAGCAGCTTTCCGCAGCATTCAGTTGATCTTGCGAAGGTCTTTCCTGCTGAAGTGCTTGTTCATGCTTGCTTGTTAAAGCCAGCTTTCCCCATCAGCAATTGAGGCATGACATCTTGCTAAGGCTGGGCCGTGGTACTCGTAGGGCATTTGTTATGAAGCCTGAGTCATATAAGATCATCTAAGACTACACAGCTTGCCGCTTGCCGAGCTGTTTAAAGTGAGCTGAACTGGCCATAGTCGCTGAGAGGAGATGCAGAAGAAGGTGGCCGAAATGGAAGAAGAGGCCAGTGTGTGCGTCGTGTACATATCTTTATCTCCAGTGCATGGGCTCATCAGAGAGTTTGTGCAATGAAGTTTTTCTGAGAGGGGCTAATTCAGAGTTTTAGGCCCCTTTTGTTTCAAGGCCACTTTGGCTTGAGGTCCTGACTGTCTACGTGATGCCGCAATTGCTTGGAAAATTGAAGATCGATTGAAGCTCCCGGAGAGGCTGAGAAGCTGAAGAAACTCACCGACTCAGTTGACGAGACGGGTGATGGCCAGAAAGCCCAGAAGATTTCAATCCTGTTTACTAAGGGATTCACAAATAGTAGTTGAGGGACACTCATATTCCCAAAGATGGCAATTCTGGAATACTTCTCCCCATTTTTTCTCTTATAGAACTACAGGAACCGTGAGTAATTTCCCTACAAGACCTGTAGAAGCTCAACCCCCATATGGTCGAGTGGAGCTTTGGCCATACCTTCTTCTTGTTACGGCCAGCTGTTTACATGTGCAAGGCTAGCTGGGTTCCAACTTGACTTACACGAATGTAAGCACAGTAGGAGGGCAGAGAGATGGCCTTCGCTCTGAATTTGCTTGATGGCGAAGTTCAGCATCGATTGTGCAAAGGCTGCTAGCAGATTAACATGCATGTGGTGAACTTGCAGGTGTAGGGCTGCCAGAGAGCCGTGGCTTTGCTCGTTGGTCCTCGATAACCTCCATGCAGTCCTCATCTCACCCTTGCATAACCTTTATTTAATCCCTATACAATACTGATAGCATCCCTACATACTCCCTATGTAACTCCCCGCATTATTCCTAGACCCCAAGCCTGAGGTGTGGATCGGGAGGAGGTCGACAAGCGATCCGTGTGCGCATGGAGGGGTTGAGAGTTCGCGTTTAGAATGCCAGAAAGGACCTCCAGTGCCACCAAGGATTCATATGGGGGGTTTGATCTAATTGTTCTTCTGGGAAACTATCTAGGGGTCCTGTAGGCCTACAAAGGAAAATGCAGGTGGAAGTATGGTCTATGATGGTCATTTTGGGAACACGAGTTAGGATCAACTACAATGTAGAGTTTGGAGATTGTGGAGATCTAACGGCAAATGACGCGCTGGACTCATGAGCTTGTTGTAGCTAATATCCTTTGTGGTGTTGCCTGCAGATGCCCAGCTTGCAATGCCAGGCTTGATATACATGCTAACGTCATGGCAGTCTCTTCAAGCCTCAGCCTGTCATGCCACCAACTGTGCAGCTCGCCTGCTTTGGTGTTGTAGCCAGGTACGTGGGCTCTGTGGATTGGGGTGCCACTCCCGAAGTGCCCCAGCTGCAGTGCCTCCAGTGCCTGCAGTGCCTGCAGTGGGTCTGTTAGCATAAGGCTGTTGGGTTCACGTTTGCCAGGTAGGAAGTCTTTTCTGATCAGATCTGTTCGGCGCCTTCTTGTTTCAACCTTTAAACCTCCACTTGTCTCTTGTTTAGGCCTGAGCGGAGGTAATGTTCCTGGAAGTCCTGGCTACGGGACCCTGAAGAGGATTAGCTGAAGACGTTCCTGGTCAGGAGTTGCAGGAGCACTTCAAGACCTGCGGGCCTCGGGCTGTGCGCTTGCTTTGCACCACCCTTTCTCGAAGCCAGTTGTTCAGGTCAATCGCGATATCAGGCCAGGTCCTACGAGGTTTTAGGCAAGCTTGCATCCGCGCTGCGGCAAGTAACCTTCAACTTTGCAAAGTCTACTTCAGTCATGTTGCTGCAGGCGTTAGGTAAAGGTGTTTGGACAACACAGGCCTTTAGTGCACATTCTTGTGGCGTACCTCCGAGGCATCCCGCTTGCCGCTGCATGTATGATCAGATACAAAGTTGGGGCTCCGTGGCCTGTTGATGCTGTAACGGGCAAGAACTAAGCGATGGCAAACTGTTCCTTCGAGGCCTGATTCATGATACGAAGCTGCGAACAAGCAGCAGCTGGCGTGCAAAGCTACCCTGAACTGTTGGACCAACAGCGTCCCCAAGGCAAATCAACCGAATCACGATTTTGGTCGACAAGTTCACCGGCCACCCGAAGGTCGGGCTTTAAGATATATCTTTAAGCCGGCTTGGACAGAGAGTGCGAAGTCTATGAACCATTTGTTGGAACCCTATGTTGTACACTTTCATGTTCCTTACCGTGGCCCAGTGCATGCGGCTAACACTCATCTGCACAGACATCCTCTTTGAGTTGTGTGTACGCAAGTCGCCCAGAAGAGTAATGAGTGTCCATGTGCCTTGCTTCCAAGTGTAAGGTCTACGGACCTCTGAGCAGGAACCTCAAATATTCAGACAACCTCAAAAACATGCAAGTTCCCTTGCAGGGCCGCGCCTACATAGAATTCGGCGATGAGCAGAGCGTACAGCGGGCTCCCGAGTACTCTCAGGGTCACGGTTGCGGGATCTGGGTTTCAGAGTCTACTGTAGGTTTTTGGGATTGTGAGGGCTCTCAGTAGATCTGCTGGGAAAAAGATGCGGGCGTTAAAGCCTTGGGGTATGAAGTTGACTGCAGGCTTGTTGCATTGTACTCGACGGTGGATGGACAAAATCGTGCATAGCGCGTTGCAAGCACAGTGCGGCATGTTCATCAACTCCCGCCCGGCGTCCTTCTAATGTCAACGTTGATAACACGAGTGGGTGATGCAGGATTTCGTCCATTCGCGCACAAGCCCTTGCTGACTGTTTTGGGCAATCAACGTTAGAATTCAGGGTTTGCAAGGGATGCTTGGCAGAAGAAATCTGATGCAGGATTTCGTCCATCAACAGTAGGTGTTGTTTTGCATCTTTTCCTGGGTTTGAATACCACTGTACACCGTGGACAGCAATCGCATGCCTTATTTTATCTGAAACCATGACGTTTCAATGCCCAATCACGAAAACTCCTTGCAAGAGAGGGCTTCGTCAATTACCCTAAATTCCCTGAGGCTGGTGGAAGCGTTGTGTTCAGCTTTTGTTTCTTGACCACTTTCGGAGAACCCTGATTTCAGTTGTATACCATAGCTGTCGAGCTCTTCATTTTGCATTGCCTGTGTGGTTTTTGATTTGCACCGAGGCTGCGCAAGGTTGCTGCAGAAAGCAACAGCGTTTGGGTCCCTTTTCTTTGGGAGCGGAACCCCAAACTTTCATGCATCAATTCGCCTGACTAAGGCACAACAAACAACTCGCAGATTTTCGGATCTTGAGGTAGCTGTTTGGAATCATTATGATTTATGGCAGCGGACAGAATCCACAAGATCACCTTAAACATTCCATGCAATAGCATGGACACGTTATGACACCTGTGTAGTGCATTGCATGGAGAGTTAGAGTCTAGGTGGGGTCTTGCAAGCTAGGTTGGCTAGCCATCAGGTTTCGAGCCTGTGACCCTCCGATAACTCCACCTGCAAAAAAGCATGAAACACTTCATCTCACAACAGGTCAGGCGCTTTTAATTGGTCCCCGTCACCTTAAGAGACTTTCTATGGCCCAGCCAGCTCTTCAACGAAGAGCCCCGAAACCCTAAGCCCTTACTTAACGAAGCGCTGCTAAGGAACTCGCTATTGCTGAATGGATCACTCTTCCGGGGGCGTCAGCTCAAGGCCCTCATGGCTTTGCACAGCTGCGAGCAGGGCAACTCTCACTTGTAGTCACATGGGTTTAGGCTTAGTTTTTTCAGGAGTCAGGGCTGCATGCGCGCTACAGAAGCTTCCTGGCCGTACCATGTGATGATAGTTCCCGGTCTGCCAGCTACTCGGACCCAACGACGCAACCCAGACTTCTCCTCTCTTCCCAAGAGTTCTTTGCAGCAGGGATAACGCATCAGCTGGTCTATGTCCCTTCTTGCAATTCTCTTTTTGCAGGTCCAAACAGTAACTGCCAGGGTTGACCTACGTGGCAAGGTGATTCAGAAGAGGACCAACATCCCTGGCTTCAACAAGGGCAAGGGGAAAGGCCTGACACCGTGTAGGGCACTGCTAGACACTGCCTGTCGTCGTTCCTGTTTCGGATATACGCTGCAATGTCTCTTCACTTCCAGTGTAGGATGCATGTTGACATCATCCAGAGTAAAGTGAAGACGCCTCTCGTGTTTTCCCTGTCCTGTGCTCTTTGGGAGATTCGCATTGCAGGAAAGACTAAAGGCAAAGGGAAGGGAAAGGGCCAGCGGCTAAGCTTTCCGCACGGTGGCGCATGTGAAGCTGCTGTGCTGCGAAGCTGTACAGTGACGAACGTAATCAATATACAGGCCGCTACGACAACTGGCGTGGAGTGCAGTTCGGACCGAACATCGCGGAAAAGAGTAAGGTCTAGCCCTGCTCATAATGCAATGGGCTTTACCTTTAGAAGTCGCTTGCTCGTGCATTCGACGTTTCATTCCTGGTGCTTCAAAAAGGTTGTAGGGTGAGCCCAGCCAGGCAGAGGTTCTACTTGGGAATGCAGAGTAGCATGTTAGACTTGTTAGATGCCCTCCCCTCAAGATCCGAACCTCAGACCAAGTCTCTTTGCCGCCTGTCAGGTCTTTTGCCACTCTTTGACCCTTTCCGGAAACAAGGTCTCGAAAAGAAACCTTCGACAGTGTTAGTTTCCAGAAGAGCCCATCACTGTAAGGCTACTACGATCCGTGGGCAGATCCCTGGGCGGACCCGTGCCCCGGCATGTGGGTCAGGATGACGAAGAACACATGGCCAGTGCATAGTACCAACAAATGGTTGGCAGGATCCCACAAGTAGAGTGCAAAGAACACGTGCGCTGACCTTGTGCGTGTCCTTGA